ATTGGCCCAGCTTTGTTACTTACATGGATTGTAATGTTTTTAAATTAATTTAGGGGTAGAGGTGGGGAACATGGGAACAGGAAAAGAACAGAAAGAGAGGAGGAATAGTTACAGTTAACCGTCTAGCCATGATCATCAAGCATCACAGCACACACAGCATCATCATGCAGTACCAAGTAGCTATTTGTATGTAATAAATTACATGCTTTTATCATACTGCATTTGCAGGACATATTGGTCAAATAAACGGGAATTAGCAGACCTACATTAGATAGGCAAACCATAAATAAAAAGACAGAACAACAATACAAAGCCCAAGGGATATAGCGTATATTATGAAATAAATCTTTCTGTGTGACTGCATCACAATATATGTTTCTGTATACTGATGAGTTATTTATCATAGCCTGCCAACTTGACGACAATTTGAAACAGACGGTGTCAACAGATCTGAATTACCTTACGATGATCTTTACCTTACACTGCACCAAGATAATTCTTTTGAGTTCACACTCTGGATAAAGAGAACTACTGAGTGCTAAAGGATTTATCGGTGTAGAGAAATTGTTAAAATATCATGGGACAAAACTGCTGTGCTAGCTAAATCGCTACATTGGTCAGATAGAAGAGGGTTGCACTCATCAGTTAACATAAACATAAAGGCAAACTGATTATGTTGTAAACCATGCGAAAACCAGTGTCCGGCATGCTCCTGTGAATACAAAATTACTAAATTTTCCCCATGAAACCTGTTCCAAAATTCTGAGATAACATTCCCTCCAACAAAGGCCCAAGCCAGTTGTCTTCATTAATCACAGCTTACAAATATTTTAATTCAAGAAACTTGGAGAGGTTTGAGAGGGGGAAAATGTGCTTGTTCCGTGTGAGAAGGCAGCTCTGATCTGCAGGGCCTGGTTTAATATTTTATGATAGCGATCTGCAGGGTATGCAGTGCAATTCTGACGGCTTGCACTGCCCTACGTTCCCTGAATCCTCAATATTGTTCGCAATTGCTTCATGAAAAAAAAAAATGGTTTAGTTCCAGCAGGACAACACTGACTGACTGAGCTCTCATTGCTTCACCTAATGCAAATGCAGCATCCATTAGACAGGGACTGGAAATGCTTTTCTACTTGGCCTTTTAAGAAAAAACAATACCAGATATTTACATATAAATAACATTTTAAAGAAGAATGAAACTGATTTCCCTTGCGTGACGTTTATTTATCAAGTCTTTTTATTATAGCAGCTAAAATACAAGCAAGGGAGCAGGATCTCTGCTCAATCTGTATCTCCAGGTCATCAGCACTGGTTCAACGCGTTAACATTAAAATGACATTAGAACACAGTGTGATCAATGGAAATCCATGATGAGAGCAACACACAGTTTTCTTGATCCAGAATGTGCAATTAATGGTTTTCTCTACAGTATGCCTTTCCACTCAGGTCTCTGAACAAACACTTTACTGAAAAGAAGGGACCGGCACTAACTTGAAGAGTTATGGCAACCACAGAGAACAGCAGGCGTGTTATCTTTCCCACATACTGTATAGGGGCTATCAGTGTTCATCGAATACAAAGAACACTCCAGATACCATATAAATACTAGCATAGTACCAACCTCTGCTACTTTAAAGAAATCCAATAGGCAAGAATACCGTTCTCTAAAACCAGAGTTATAAAGAAACTCCGATAATGCTGTTGTTCTGTTCCAAGGCAGGGTTAGACTCACTCATGTTTCTGTTCTAATGTCTTTGATAACATGGGATTCAAAACTCCCACTCTTTAACAGATAAAAGGGATATCCTTACATGAAGTCAGCCATAAGGAAATAGAGGAGGAGGAGGACTGTGTGCATTCGGAGGGAGGGGGATACCGATAACCTCAGTCTCTTAATGGAGTTTTACTCTATGAAAGGAACCATTTTTGTAGACAGTGAAATGTAACAGATGGTATCACGCGTTATCTGGTTAAGTTGTGGAATTTAAGCAGAGCAGCAAGCTACCTGACAGACCTTCTTTATGTACAATTATAGCTGCAAATCTACGGAGGGGTTTTTTTTTTTTTTTCAGGCACCAACAGGTAATTTTGAATAGAGCACTTTGGAAAGCAAGCTTTTGTTACAATGCAGTTGTGGATGGATGGTGCCATGACTATGTCGCCCTACAGGACCCCGGAAGAGATGCCCTCTGACAGCCAGTTTCTTGTCTGTGGGGTCCGAGTCGACCTAATCAGCAGAACACCAGTTTACAGCCTGGTTTGTATCTCATGTTATCCATACACAAACATGTGTAAGGCAAACAAAAGAGAAATACTTTAAAAGCAACGTGGTCAAATGGGAAATCACTCCTCTGCCTGAAAGTCTGGTGCCTACTTTAATTACGCCCAGAGTTTGTGACGAGGAATATTTCATTCATTTTATTTACTTTTCTCAACTTTTTATTTTCTGTTGGGCATTTTCCGTTTGCCTTTGTGGATAGTCAATTTCATTGTTTCCCATGCCTTGCCAGTTGGTTTCCTCCTTGGTAAACAAGGAGGCAGAAAATGCATGCAAAAAATAAAGGAATTTAAAAGGGAAATAAAACTCAAGAGTTGCTATTTAACACAAGATCTATCAGACACAGGATTTTTTTTGTTAATCGTCAATTAAAAATGATATTAAACCACCAAGACAATGATGTGTTTTCAGCTGCAGATTGCATTAGATAAATACAAATTGCTTACACATACCTAGGAATCCAATGTTCTACGTTGGACAATCCACACCCAGTTTTAAGTTCCATTCTTTAATTTATTCAGATTTCTAGTCACATGCCCATCTCCATCAGCCCCAATCCACAAAATAATGTCAGCCAACAAAATAACAACCTCCATTCTCTCATTAAACTATATCCCCAGCCAACTCCCTCAGCAGAACACAGGAAAACAGAGTAGTCCTGCAGCATCCCTGAAGGTCAAAGAATCTGGGCATTGATGGAAGAAGGGGAGAAAGGATGTTGTCACAGTCAAGGATCCCCCGCTTCCCCAGAAAATATTTGGCACCAGTCTATTCTCTTTGGAACAGAGGGCTTTGACTTGGACCATCATCATTGTCCACAACTGAAACAGGTGGCACACAGAGAGAGGTGGTATCTATCTCAGGCAGCCACTTCTCCAGCCATTTATTTAGGGCTTTACAGCTAATCACACACCAAATGCAAAACTGGCTCTTAGAGACATCCACAAACCCAAAGATGCTGAAGTTCTCACATAAGCCACTTTGACAATCAACCTGTAAAATGCTTGAAAGCATAATTTATATTTTCAGGAGTGAGCTTCCTACCAAAGATGAGCGGCTTGAAACTGAGGCAAGGAGCAGCAGCGCAAGACCTGTTTTATAGCCATGCAGAGAACTACAGAAGGGGCTCATACTGGTGTAGCTACACTGGTGCAACCCCCCCCCCCCCCAAAGTAATCAAGATCTATTAAGCAAAGTTTGACATTAGATACACAAGAAATCTTAGACTTCATAAAGTGAGGACCTACAGTTTCTTACCGGCAAAAACCTGACTTAAAACCCCCCAAATTTAGCCACACCACAGAATTTTATTTGATAAATCAACAGCTACTCATAAAAAAAGCTTCATTCCAAATGAGACCTTTGTCCTTCTTTGTGGTTAAAAGAGTTGTTCCACAGATACACCGCCAGCAGCAACAGACCCCAAATTAACAGTCATTCCTCTACTGTGCCAGAACTGTAGTCTACCCTTGGCACCTAGCGACGACAATCCTTCCACAAATAATTTAAACGCTGAACAAAGATGCATTTGGTTTGAAGCATGGCCTGGAAAGTAGCAAAAATATTCAGAGTGACTGGCAGATATTCCTAAGATATTGGTAGCCTGGTAATTAACAAATCTTGCCGTGAGGGTTAATGTAACATCTTCTAATATGGTATTCAAACAGAAGTAAAGCACGCGGAGTATTTCTTAAAAAGACACTGGATCAGATCACTGCCATTCTACAAAACTTGTAGTTTGTTACAGAAACTCTGAGCTATTTCAAGCAAGAGTGAACAGGAGAGGCAGAGAAAGAGAGACTTGTAGGTAGATAGGGTTAATCCCTGCAGGTAATACACATTCAGTTAAATTGTGCAACATTTTCCAGTCTGCAGATTCTGAATCCCATTTAACATCTTTCTCACATTGTAAGCAGCCGCATTTTAGCCCCTCCATTCTGGGAGGCTGTTTCTGCAGGCACTGGGCAGTTAACTAACAACTGCTGGTGCTCTCCAGTGAAGCCCTGGGGGGGGGAGAGGGCGGGGGGGAAGCTGCACAATAGAGCATGACACAAAAGGCCATCCTTTTCATCCTTTCTGCTTCTCCATTTTCTCCAGCTGAGCCAGGGCTTTAGTCAAACAACACTTTAAAAAAATATAGGCAAATGGGGGGGGGGGGGGAGAGAAATCAAACATTTCATTAACCAGAACCAGCCAAATTTGGGGGATGGGGGCAATCCACCCCCATCTCCCCCCTCCCAAGTAAACCCTTTAAAACAGCTCCTGTTTTCCCCCCACCCACCAAAATGCAAGCTGCGGGTGGCTGATCTATTTTTCCTTTCCTTCAGAAAAAGCTGCAAAGGGCCTGACACCGAAAGGAGCCCCCTACCATTCTCAGCAAGAGCCAGTACCGTGTAGATAATCACATGAAAAACATGGCTGGCTGGTGCATCGACAGATACAAACGAGAAATACCGGACTGAGCTTTATTTAGATCACAGCTAAATTAAAAAAAAAAAGGGGGGGGGGGGGGGGGGCCATGTAACATGGCTGCAGTTTTAAAACCATTACGCCTGCCAGCTTGAAGAGAACAGCAAAAATATTTGCCTGTTCTGAAGGTAGCTGTTCCTGACATCCTCACAGAATAGTCCATGCATTCATCCATCCATCCATCCATCCATCCGTCAGTCCGTCATTCTGACCGGGAAGGACGAAACCCAGGAAAAGAACTAAAATAGTTTACCTGATTCAGTGCAAGTTCCTGGGAGCAAGAGGTAGAAAATCCGGAGGAAATGTAGAAAGAAAAAAAAAAATCTGCTTGGATCCCTTTTGCAGTCCACAGTCTCATCTACATGCATCTGAGCAAGCACTTACCAGCAGCTGCTTCTTTTATCAAGCCCACAAGCACAGCAAATTGGCTGTCCTGCCCAGTGAGACAGTTCAGTCAATGTGAGCTATTCACACTCCAGCTCTTGTGTGAGGCAAGCTTCTCCTGTCCCTATGTCCCCCTGGTGAGCACCCGCCCACCTCCACATGGCCTTTGGATAAACAAGGCTTTCACATCACCCACAGAGAAAATCACATGATCCTGACAATCAACAGTCTGAGGGAAATATATATATATATACATACACACACACACACACACACACACACACACACACTAGGACCCTGAAGGCGTTACCCAGAGCGAGAGACAGAAATGAGGGTAAAAAGGAAAAGCATAAAGAAAGAAACAGGTTTGCTTTAAAGACAATTCCTCTGGGTCACCAAAGAAACGCAAAGGTCTGGAAAAGGGTAACCTCTTCCAAACTCTCTGCACCTTTCACGTGGTGGGGAATCTTCTCCTCAAAGAGCAGAAAGTTAGAATTCCTAGTGAACAATTAATCTGATGCAGACCAGAGTAATCTGACATAGTAAAATAATATTTACCAGCAGCCAGCACATCCTTAGTGTATCTGCAGCTTCGCACTGAATCCTGGGTTTTTCCTTCATCATTCTCAAGAAAATATGAAATGATTTTACTTGGGGTAAAAAAATAAAGGCCCTGATTTTTTTCCAGTGGGTTAAATAAACAAAATATATAGGGGGGAAAAAAGCGAACACTAAAAATAACTACACTAACTGCTCTGTGACAACCAGCGATGGGAAGCTGATGAGCGGCGCTTGTGTTTTTCGTGAAGGCAAAAAACCCCACAAAATTAAATGAAAAGCTCAATCCCCAGAAGCGGTTCCTGCAACTCTCGTCCCATGCTCCTGGGCCTGGCTCCCCTTTCCAGTGTTGCAACCTGAGGCATGTGGTTGCAACGCTGCTCAGGTTTGGCCTGGCCTTGACAGAGAATAGGGTGACCATCTTTTCAGAAAGCAAAAAAAAAAGCAGGACACATGCAGGAGCCCTGTCCCCTTATGTGGCCCCACTCCTGCTCCTCCTCTTCCCCCTCCCTCCGAGGCCCTGCCTCCTGGTCAGGCTGGAGCCAGGGCCGCTGTGGGGAGACCCGGACCCTCCACTTGTCCGGGGCGGGGTGCCCAGGAGCAGCCTCCGGCCTGTGTCCCAGCCCCCAGGGCACGCCGCACAGGGCAGGTGGATGTTCCAGGACTCCGCACAGCAGCCCGAGCTCCCTGGGCGGCTCTCCTTATTGCCAAGCGTTGGCTTCTGGCCTGGCCAGGACCTCACGGGGGGGAAAGGAGGAGCAGGGGGCGGGGCCCCATGGCAACAGGGGCTAAGCTCACCTCACCACCCTCCCACTGGGAAGAAGGTGGTGCCGTCCCTGAGCCTTGGGTAGGCACAACGCAGTTCCACTTGGACTCCGGGACAGTCGTTCTGCCCAGGATCGGGACTTGAACTCTGCATTTTGGGATTGTCCTACCCAATTCGGGACGACCTTAACAGAGGGGCAGCCAGGCCAAACCTGAGCAGCGCTGTGACCCTGTGCCCCAGGCTGCATCACCCATAGCTGGGAGCCAGGCCCAGCCCTGAAGCACAGATGCCACTGTGGTGTGGTCTCGCTCGGCAACCAGCCCTCCTCCCCCGGGGCCTCTCACTCCATTGGGGTCTCACTCGGCAATCCCCCATGCATGAATAAAAATGAAACACCACAAAATTTGTGAAAAATAAAACAAAAAATTAATAAAAATCAGAAGAATGTCATGGCGTGCTACCTATCAGACACTAAGGTTGTTCTGCCATAGATTCCAAGGCCAGAAGGGACCACCGCTGTGATCATCTTTCTAATCTGACTCGTGTGCAACTCAGGCCAGAGAACTCCCCCCCCCCCCCGAGTAATTTCTGGAGCAGATCCTTCAGAAAAAACATCCAACCTTGATTTTAAAATAGTCAGTGACGGAGAATCCACAACGCATCTTAGTGTTGTTACAATGTTAATTACTCTTACTGTTAAAAATAATTATGCCTTACCTCCGGTCTGAATTTGTCTAGCTTCAACTTCCAGCCTTCAGATAGTGTTATACCTTTCTCTGCTAGACTGAAGAGCGCATTATTAATTTGTTCCCCCGTAGGTACTTATAGACTATAATCAAGTCACGCTTTCACCTTCTCTTTGTTAAGCTACATAGCTTGAGCTCTTTGAGTCTATCGCTAAAATGCAGGTTTTCTAATCCCTTAATCGTTCTCTTGGCTCTTCTCTGAACCCTCTCCCATTTATCAACACCGTCCTTGAATTGCAGACACTAGAACTGGACATAGTATTTCAGCAGTGGTCGCACCAGTGCCAAATACAGAGGTCAAATAACCTCCTTTCATCTACTTGAGATTCCCCTGTTCACACATCCAAGGATTGCATTTTCCCTTTTGGCCACAGCATTGCACTGTTCATATGATTATCTACCACGACCCCCAAATCCTTTTTAAGAGTCACTGCTTCTCAGGATAGATTCACTCATATGGTAAGTATGGCATTATTCTTTGTTCATAGATGCATATATTTACATTTAATCATATTAAAATAATAAAAATAGTTGCCTTAGAAGGATTCTCCGTATCCGCTGGCCAGACACCATCAGCAATATCTACTTCTTGGAGAGGACCCGTCAACTTCCAGCAGAGGAAGAAATTAGAAGGAGAAGGTGGGGTTGGATAGGACACACACTACGCAAGCAGCCAACTAACATCACTAGACAGGCATTGCGGTGGAACCCCCAAGGCAAGCGGAAAAGAGGCCGTCCAAGAAACACCTGGCGATGCGACCTTCAGGCTGATAGCATAAAAATGGGCTATACCTGGAACCAGCTAGAGCAAATGGCCCAGGATAAAGGACTCTGGAGATCTGTGGTTGGCGGCCCATACCCCAATTGGGGTGACGGGCATGAGTGTGATATTAAAATAAATATTATTCGCTTGCACCCAATTTATCAAGCAATCCATATCGCTCTGTATTACTGAGTGAACCTCATTATTTACCACTCCTTCAATTTTTGTGTCATCTGCAAGCTTTATCAGGGATGATTTTATGTTTTCCACCAGGTCATTGATGAACATGTTAAATAATATAGGTCCAAGAACTGATCTCTGAGGGACCCCACTAGAAACACAACCACTCAGTAATGATTATCCGTTTATAATTATTTTGAGATCTACCAGTTAGCCAGCTTTTAATCCATTTAATGTGTGCTGTTAATTTTATACTGTTGTAATTTGTTTTATTCAAAATGTTGTGCAGTACCAAGTCAAATGCCTTACAGAGGTGGGCAGCCGGAGAGTGGCAGCTGTTGGTCAGACGCCCACCTCTGAAGGCAGTGCCCCACCAGCAGCAGTGCAGAAATAAGTGTCGCAATACCATACCATGCCACCTTTACTTTTGCATTGCTGCCTTCAGAGCCGGGCGGCCGGAGAGTGGCGGCTGCTGACTGAGGGCCCAGCTCTGCAGGCAGCAGTACAGAGGTAAGGGTAGCTGTACCGCACCCCCCCACACACAATAACCTTACGACCCCCCCCCTCCACACACAACTCCTTTTTGGGTCAGGACCCCTACAATGACAATTCCGTGAAATTTCAGATTTAAATAGCTGAAATGAAATTGATGATTTTTACAATACTATGACCGTGACATTGACCAAAATGGACCCTGAATTTGGTAAGTCCCTCCTCATGCTGATGTAAAAGGAAAAGGAAGATAGGACTGAAGCCACTTCCCATACCTCAGCAGGATAGAACAGAGAAAGTGCTCCACCCCTAACTCCTCAGGCAACCATTTTGAGCAGAGGCTTGGACACTGAGGCTAGAGGAGATGGGGCTTGAAACACCTTCCTTCCCTCCATAGACCATCATACCCGCACATTTGTTAAAAAGCTGAACAGAGACAGAATTGAGGTTTCTCCTCAGCAGAAGCCAAACCCTGAAATCCCAATCACAGGTGCCCAGCCCTACCAGAAGCTGAGCACCCAATGAGGTGCTAATGCCCTCAACTGCCAGTGACTTTTACTTGAGACCTCTCAAGACTGGGTCCCTCCTAAGTACCTGCCATTTTCATCAACTTCAGAGAAATTCCAGGTGCTCAGCACCTCTCAGGATCTGGCCCTAGGACTCCAGCAGCCCACAGTGCCTGGTTGGGATTCGCACAGTGTTTGTGAAGCCCTGTTCGAAAGCCAGCAGAAATAATAGAGCAGGGATTAAGTATGCATGACGCATAGATATAAGGGTCATACAAGAAATATACAATGGCCTTTACTGTCGACTATCTTTACAAATTCATTGGATTAAGCCTGGAATAAGTAATCTGTGCATACCTTCCATCATCTCTGTGTAATCTTTGCACTTTGCCAATATGAGTACCTTTCCGGGTGAATTCAAAAAGCTCTCATTTCCTCACAGATTCCCAGCCTCAAGATATATAATGCACTCTACCAATTTCCACACAAGTACTCGTTTTTCAAGCTTAATCAGGATTTAGTCTTGATATAGGCCCAAATCCTGGCTCCACTGACAACAATCAGGGCAGGACTATGTGCACTATGGAAAAAAAAAATCAATTTCCACCCATTCAATTTGCTAAATTTTAACTCCTTTCACTGCAATGCTACTGGAAGATAACGAACAGCAGGCATCCTCTGCATCTCAGTTAAAATACATGTATTAAAAACACCCTGAGGAAGGACAAACTGATTTTAATTTTTTTTCCTATCTGGTCACTTGCTGCTGGGAACACATTACAATACTTCAGAAATCCCCGCTGAGGCATTCCTCAACAGGGATTGTTAGAAGTCCTAGAGTGTGGAACCCCTGAAGTGCACTCTTAGATCAAGGATGACTAGGGGAGAGATACACTGGTACAAAACGCCAGCTGTGCCTCTGCATTCACAGTATCTTTCTGCCCAGGTACTAACATTCACCACATATTCCTGGACTTGGCCAAGATTTGTGTGAAAAGGCACAAAGGAGGAGAAAAATGTAAAAGCTCCCATTAAAACTCTGGAAAAGTGAGTTCAGGAAAGA